CCCGCTGTGGCCCCGCGAGGTCCCCAGTGCCCCACACATCCCCAGCCAGGGATGGGGATGGGGCTGCAGCTACAGGGGACACAGTCTCTCCCCCCCGCATGCCGGCTGGGGCCCCCACGCCAGCAGCTTGGCATGGCTTGGAGGAGCACGAGGTTTTTTTAATACTCCAGCGAATTTATGGAGTGCGTCTGAGACACAGTGCTGCTGTCACTGCGGACCTCTTCCCACAGATCCCACTTCCAACCCCAAAAGTTGTTTTTCCTAATTAAAAAAAAAAAAAGCGAACCACGAAGTTGAGGGTTTCCACATGAAGCTATTCCAGAAATGTTTCTGGCCAAAACAGCTGCGCACGGGGATCTCCCTAGCCTGTCGTAAGGCGTGCTTGGAGAGAGGTGGGCGCTGCCTCAGAGCTCTACCCTTCCCCACAGAGCTGAGCTCAAAACCCACCCCCAGAGACCCCTCCCTGCAGAGCGGTACAGTCCCCACAGGGGCTGTTTGGTGACATCATCTCACTCCTGCAAATGTCCCCACCAAAGGGCTTTTTTTTTTTTGCCTCCAGGAGACACTCCAGAGCAACCTGGTTTTTCTTAAAAAAGAGAAAGAAAAATTTAAGCCCAAAAAAGAAAAGAAAAGTAATGGCCTGCTGGTATGTGCTTCTCTCTCCTTGTGCACGCCGTGCCCCCCTGCCTGCTTACCCACCGGTTTTCACGGGCGCATCCCATCTTTCCCTCTCCCCATATATATTTATCTCCTTTTCCATAACAATGCTATTTTCTCTGTCCCTCTCTGTCCACCCCATATATCCTTCTTCCATCCTGCTCTCATTCAGACTCCGCTGTTCTTGGGTCCATCAACATCCCGACTTGCCACCCCTCTCCCCCCTCCACTCCTCCAGCTTTCCCTCCCCAAAAACTCTTCTCCTTTTCCCCATGATCCTTGACCCCCTCTCCGCAGCACTGGGTCCCCGCGCCCACACGGAGGCTCCCAGAGGACAGGATGGCTCAGGGGCCTCCGCGCGGGCACCTTGCAGGGGAAGGTGGCCTCGGAGCAGCAGACGCTGCAGGACACCTTTGAGCAGCTGCAGCAGTTCCTGCGGGAGCAGGAGGGCACCCTGCTGGCCCAGCTCGACCGGGCGCACCGGGAGCTCACCAAGGAGCGCCACGAATACTTCTCCAGCGTTTCGGAGAGGAGGTCACTGCTGGACACGCTGATTGCAGAGATAGAGAAGAA